CTCTATACACACACACACACACACACACACACACACACACACACATATATAGAAAGCAGATCTGAAGAGCGTGTGCACCTACACACCACACACACACACACACACACACACACACACACACACACACTGCTTCACTGGTTTCACGTGGTTGCGTTTGCACTGCAGCTGCAGCTGGTGGTGGTTTCTCATTGGCGGGTAATGCGCAGAGGGGTACTTCCTGGTGGCCGCCTACCGTGGACAGTGAGCGTGGTGCTCTGGCTGCTGGAGCCTGCGGCGTTGGCGGCGGTGCACGTGTACCGACCCACGTCCTGGGGCTGAGCGAACGCGATCTGCAGGGCGCCGGAGCTGAGCACGCGCTGGCGGACTGATTCCACGATGGCACGTCCGTCTTTATGCCAGGTAATGTCAGGGGGAGGGAGACCATCGGCTTCACACGGCAGCGTGATGGGCTTGTCCACAGCTACGACGTGCTCCTTGGGGTGAGGGCTAACGACTGGAGGAACTAAAAGAAACAAATTCAAATGACATTTTACAAGCACAAGCATACGATGGCAGTTTATGACACTGCTCTAGCAAAATGAATTAACGGTAGTAAGGAATGGAACATGGCTTTCCTATATTAACAAAAAAGGGGCACCACTGGCCTGCAGATGTAGCAGTTATGTTGCTGGACTCCCCCATGGCCGACTGTGGTTCAAGTCCCAGACCTGGTGGCTTAAAACTCATGATGGGGTGTGCGCGTGTGTGTGCATGCCCAAGATCCTGGGAGGAGAATGGAGCAGAAGGGATTGCTGCGTGGCCATCCGTCCCGGGGATGGGAGTTGATTTCTTACTTTCCCTCTCACTGTCTCTGTATGTCTCTCCTTCTGGAGAACATACACACCCTAAGGCAAAAACCTCTAAAGAAAAAAAAGGTTAATGTGTAAAGTACCTCCAACTGGACTGGTGAGAAATGTATTCATGTTGGAAAATTCTCTTTACAAGCTAAGTCATGTATAGTGGTTGAATGTATAAAAGACATTAAAATAAAATAAAATAAATGAAAAAAGAAAAAAAAGGAGCACCACAGTTTGTTGTCATTGCAAAGTAACTCTCACGGAGCCTATTTCATAACTTAGTCTCTGTATTGCTAACCAAAAATATACGTGATAATTTAAAAACAAACACTAAACAGACACTAGAATGGGAAGTTATCTCCTACGATAATATGACTGACTTGCTTGACATGCAATGCATTGATGCTTTGAGAACCCATATGGTCTACTGGGAAGATATGCAATTTTGTAAATGTAAATGAAATGAATGAATTAATTAGAAAAGTTGATTTCTTCCATAAGTAAGAAAGACAGAGGACGAGAGAGAGTGGTATCAGCCCAGCAGGGTCCTGCTGCTGCTACACTCTCCCGAACTTGAGCCAGCCCAGGGCCCTGGGCACTCACAGGGCGTGTGTGTGTCTGGCATACTCAGGAAGATCTCTGGACTTGAACTAGGAGCCTCCCATGTGGGATTGTCTCACAGGGTGTAAGGTATTACTGCTGTTACTATCTGGTCCTGACAGTCAGTTTTAAATTAGATAAACATACATATACTCATGAAGATATGTATCAACAGAAGTATTTTCTTTCTTTTTCTTCTTTCTTTCTCTTTCTCATTCTTTTTTCTTCTCTTTACCATTTTTTTTGAGAGCTTTTTGCTAAAGGGCATATGCATTCACTGGAGAGAGAGAAAGAGAGAGAGAGAGAGGGCAAGAAATCAATCCTCCCCTTCCCTCCCCCCACCCCCGCCTCGGTAATGGCCATGCCCCAATCCCTTCTACTCTGTTCTTTTGGGACTTTGGACATGCATGCACTCGCACCCAGTATGAGATTCAAGCCTCCAGGTCCAGGACTCAAACCAAGGTCAGACATGTGCTAGTCCAGCAATGTAACCATCACACCATCTACTGGTCATGAAGTATTTTCTTTCTTTCTTTTTTTTTGGGGGGGGGGCAGGAGAGATTTTTTGCCATTGGGTGTGTGCACGCAACAGAGAGACAGAGACAGAAAGTGAGAAATTACCCCCACCCCCAGGGAGGATGGCCATGGCACCATCCCTTCTCCTCCATTCTCCTCTTAGGATTTTGGGCATGTATGCATACACACCCAGTGTGAGTTTTAAGCCACTAGGTCCAGGACTTGAACCACAGTTGGCTACATGGGAGTCCAGTGACGTAACAGCTACACCATCTGCTGGCCCCCTGAACTATTTTCTTTAACATAACAATAGTTATATGATTTGCTTCAGGTTCTTAAACTTCCAAATCAAACCTCTTCAAGTTTTAGAAAATATTCCACTCAAAAAATACTTTTACTTATGCATTTCCTACAGAGCCTAACATGCTAAGGATTTCCCCACCAAGTGTCTACAATGACTGATCCCCACTTACATACTGGCCTGAATATCCTACTAAATCTTACAAGGCATACGACCAGATTATGAATGTCCACGTTAAGATTATTTATTGCAAACACAATGATTTGTTTGAACTTGTGCATCATTACACACTGTATATGCAAGAAAAGAGTCCATTCCAAATTCTTCATGCCTCTAGAGCATGTGATCCTCTCTGGTTTCTTCTGGCTTGCCAAAATACTTCTAGTTGTTTAATGTGTCTTTGTCCCTTGACTGCTCATATAGCAATCATTTTCATTATTTACTGAGACTTTTTTTCATGACGTCTACGTTGTTGAAATCAATGAATACCTTTGGTTCCTTACCCTGCTTGGCTCAACTGCATTGAACAAAGCTGTCCACTCCCTTTATGAAATGCCATCCTCTCTCCAAAGTTTGTGCCCTCTCCTTCATAGTCTTTTCCAATGTCCGCTTCTCTGGACCTTTAAACAATATGCTGTCCTGAGACTTTGTCTTTAACAGTGTTCTGTTCACATTCTCTTTCCTTAGGGGATGCATCCATTCTCCTGGATTTAACACTGATTACTGATGACTATTATTATTTTAGACTATACTTCTCCCAGGAGCTCTGAGTTCACTAAAGTTTCTAACAGTTTCTCATTATTTAACAGAAACCATAGTGTCCTTCCACTATGGTTTCCACGGTTCTCCCCCTTGCATTCCCACATGACACTATCATCCACTCACCGACTCAAGCCTTTAGGTGTTTACACCAGGAAACATCATTAGCTTACTTGCTCTCTCTTTTTAAAAATATTTATTTAATTTTATTTATTATTATTTTTATTATTTTAATTTTTCCACAGGACATGTACATTCACCAGAAAAAGAAAGACAGAGAAAGGGAAAGTGAGAAAGCAAGTCGCCAGGTCCAGGACTTGAACCATGTGTAGGCCGTGTGGGAGTCCAACACCTTAACTATCACCTGCTAGTCCCCATCATTAGTTCCTCTCTTTTCCTAACCTCCTAATGCATCAGAAATCCAAGCAATTATATCTCCCCCAAATCATAAATCCATCACACTTCTCTCTCTTTTTTTTTTTAGAGGATTTTGCTAAGGGGGAAAATGTGCTCACCAGAAAGACAGAGAGACAGAGAGATAGAAAGCGAGAAATCACCCCCCAGGGGGGATGGCCACACTGCAATCCCTTCTCCTCCATTCTCCTCTCAGGATCTTGTGCACACACGCATGCACACGTGCCCGGCGTGAGTTTAAGCCACCAGGTCTGGGACTCAAACCACGGTCGGCTACATGGGAGTTCAGTGACATAGCCATTACGCTAACTGCTGGTCCCAATCCATCACATTTCTCATTTATTCCTGCAAGTGACACCCCACTCCCACTCCTGGAATATTACCTTTCCCACAAAACTGTAACAATTCTCCCAGCTCTGGTCTTGCCTTTTCTATAGATCTGATCTACATAGCAGCCAAAGACGTCTTTCTAAAACCAAACTGAGTCCTGGCTAAACCCTTGAAAGCCTCCCTGCTGCACAGAGGGTGAACTCTAACTTCCCTGCAGACGCTGGGACCTTGTGCACTGGCCCTGCCCACTGTGCCGATGGCCCTGGGGGTTTGCATGCCTTCCCCTGTCTGCCATGGCGTCCCCACACTGGCATGCTGTCCTTTCCCGTCCCTTCCTGCCCTTGGCACATGCTCTTCTCTCCTACTTAGATTCTACACCAACCTGCCCTCAGCTTACCTCACTCATCATGCTAATGCGTGCCCCCCTCAGAGAGGCCTGCCCTCATCCAATGTGGCCTCCCACTCTTCTTCATCTCTGTCTTTTATTTTTTCTCTGCAGAGTGTATATGAGAATTTACTATTATTTATGGAGCAGTTTGAATTTTTCCCTTTTCCATAAGATGAGGAGCATGGTTGTAATGCTCAATGTATTTCCAATTATTCGTGTTTAATAGATGTTGAAATTACAAAGAAATTAGGTTTATAAGCTGCAGGAAAGTGAGATTGACTACATTCATTAATTCACCATGGGAAAATCACACTATAAAGAAGTCTAATTCCAATTCAGCTGTTCAGAACCTATTTCTAGTTCACTTCCCATTCACAAGAGAAGTACTTCCCACACACAGAAATTATATTAAGAAGGTATCAGTTAAATGATGTGAAAACACTCACTAAAAAAACCCTACTTTGTCTTTAGAATAATGTTTCTCCAACAAGTGAGTGTAACAGCAGTTATGATTTGTGTTTTTAGATGAAAATTATAATCCGGTGTTTCCTAACCAAGAATAGAATGGGAGAAAATCCTTTTAAAAATCACCTTGAGGGACCAGCAGTTAGCGTAATGGCTATGTCACTGGACTCCCACGTAGTCGACTGTGGTTCGAGTCCTGGAACCGGTGGCTTAAACTCACGCCGGGCGCGTGTGCGTGTGTGCCCAAGATCCCGAGAGGAGAATGGAGGAGAAGGGATTGCGGCGTGGCCATCCCCCCTGGGGGGTGATTTCTTGCTTTCTGTCTCTCTGTCTCTGTCTGTCTGGCAAGGGCACGCACCCTATAGCAAAAACCTCTACAAAATAAATAAATAAATAAATAAAAATCACCTTGAATGTGTGCTACAATGAAACAGTATCACATGGAGGGTCACAGAAGCTCACAATGTGACGGGAAGCCTCTGTCTTCTTAGCAAACAAAACAAAACATGTTCAGTTTTCTTTTTCATATGGACAATAGAAAAACCAATAGGATAATGCAAACTGAAAATGTGGGGAACCATGGGAGGAGCAGCAGAATCACTTTAGATACATGAATATTTACATAGTTTGTTGCAAACACCTTGGAAGACATGGAGACTGAGGTACCTTGCACATTTAACTTGATTTTGCCCAAGGCTGTGCCGGCAGGGTTCTGAGCCACACACATGTAGGAACCAGCATCCTCTCGTTCAGCTCTGGAGATCTGCAGACCACCACTGGGAAGAACTGCGTGACTTTTGCCTGTATTATAGTTAGAAAAGCAGAGTGAACAGAATTTTCATTTTCATTAAAATAAACCATAATGACTTCTGGATTCTAAACACTGACTGTGCCATGGTTTCTTGAAGGGGACAGTAGTAGGTACCTGAAGTCATGACATTGATGCCTTCTTTCTGCCAAGTGATGAAAGGACTGGGGGTCCCCGTTGCGTCACATGGTAAGAGGACAGGATTGTTCAGAATGACGTCTAGTTCACTGGGCTGGGGCTGAATGGCTGGAGGCTCTAGAACAGTCATTCAACAAAAGGAAGTAATACCATCAGTTGATGGCAGAAATGTCTACTATAGTGATGAGCTTGGAAAACCCTAATTCATAATTCCCAAATAGTAGTGATTTGATTTTCTAAGAGAAAAGTGAATATTGGCCACATTACATTCTTTGAGTCTTGCTACAGTATCCCTTACAAGAACTCAACTAGAAGACTAGCAGTAAGGTCAGGCTATAAAAATCCAAGAAGAGGGGCCAGCAGGTGTCGTGGTGGTTAAGGTGTTAAACTCCCATGTGGCCAACTATGGTTCGAGTATTGGACCTGATGGCTTGAAAATCATGTCAGGTGCATGTGTGTGCATGCCCACAAATCCCAGGAGAAGAATGGAGAAGGGATTGCGGTTTGGCCATCTCTCCCAGGGGAACGGGTGATTTCTCTTTCTTCATCACTGTCTTTCTCTGTCTCTTTCCTGTGCACACATGTACCTTATGTCAAAAACCAAAATTTTAAAAATCCAAGAAGAAAAAATAAGTTGGAAATTGTTCTATAAGACTTGTCAACTGTACGTTACTGCTGTTTTTATTTTTTAGTCTACTAAAGAATATCTTCTAGGCTTTCATATCCTCAACATTACTGTGGTTCATAGATCTAGACAGTACACCTTTCAAGAACAAACATGACTAAAACAAACATCATCCATATACCCAAACCAAAAGAGCCCAGCAGGTTTTTAATACGTAAATACCCCCCACCCCCATACCTTGAACGTGAAGGTTCACATGTCGATGTGCAGAACCAGCTGCGTTCCTAGCCACACAAGTGTATCTCCCAGCATGGTTTAACTGGGTGGCAAATATTTCAATTGTGCCTAAAAAGGAAAAAGCAAGTCTCTGTTTTCATACTCCAGTCAATTTTCTCTCTTTCATTTTCAGTTTTCCATACTAAACGCATAATGCTCGGATTACATTTATCCTTGGACCTCTAGAAGTGCCCAACACAATGTTTATTTTTTATTAGTAGTAGTAGCTTTGTTGAAGCATAAGAGAGTGTGTAAATGCTCTAAAAGCCACCCACTTCATGTACAGGTCAGTGATTTGTAGTGAACGTGCTGCTGTGCAACCACCTCCACGATCTAATTTTCAAACATTTGCACCCCCCAAGAGAAACCCACTGTTCGTTTGCGGTCATCTCCCACTCCCAACCTGAGCTCCAGGCCACCGCTGACCTACTCTTCTCTACAGATTTGTCTTCACTGAACACATCATATAAATGGAGTCATGCAGTGTGTGCACTTTGGTGTCTGACAGCTCTCACTGAGAGCATAAGGTTTTGGAAGTTCATCTGTGGCAGCACGTGTTGGTATTTCATTCCTTTTTATTGCCAAACATTGGGCTGTCAAGAAAGTCATGACATGTTTTTACATGGAAAAACATAGAAAAATACGTCATGACTTTCCCGATGACCTAATAGGATTCCATCATGTGAGGACACCACTTTTCTTTCTCTGTTCATCAGCTGATGGACATCTGAATTGTTCCCACTTTAGGGCTAGTGTGAATGCTGCAGTATGAACAGCTAGCTGTCTAGCAGTCCGTGTAGACGTATGCTTTCATTTCTCTCGGACAGACATCTAGGAATGAAGGTACTGGGTCCTACGTTGACTCTTTAACACTTTGAGGGAGTTCCATATCATTTCTTAGCATAATACCTTGGGAGGGTACTGAAATTATAATCTACCAAGCTATACACGTTTTGGAGATAACCAAGATACTTTGCCTTGACATCTAAGTTGCATCCTGAGAACAAATCATCTTTTCCCTTCTATTGAAGAGATATACAAATTCTCTTAGCGTAATATATATATTTCCATCAAGTTCCAGGGTTTTAGTTGCTACTTTAATTGATCTCTCCTAGGGCAGGATACATGGTTAGAAACATAAATATGAATCACATACATTTTCACTTAGGTGAGGTTTTTTCCTTCTAAATACTATAAATTGCATTAATTATGGTTATTATCATAATCAATAACTGTCTCCTTCTATTGCATATTTTTTCTTTTTCTTTCTATTTCTTTTATACAGTCAATCATGTTACTTAGCTTACAAAGTAAATATTCCAACATGTGTACATTTTTTTACCATCAGTTGATGGCAGAAATGTCTACTATAGTGATGAGCTTGGAAAACCCTAATTCATAATTCCCAAATAGTAGTGATTTGATTTTCTAAGAGAAAAGTGAATATTGGCCACATTACATTCTTTGAGTCTTGCTACAGTATCCCTTACAAGAACTCAACTAGAAGACTAGCAGTGAGGTCAGGCTATAAAAATCCAAGAAGAGGGGCCAGCAGGTGTCGTGGTGGTTAAGGTGTTAAACTCCCATGTGGCCAACTATGGTTCGAGTATTGGACCTGATGGCTTGAAAATCATGTCAGGTGCATGTGTGTGCATGCCCACAAATCCCAGGAGAAGAATGGAGAAGGGATTGCGGTTTGGCCATCTCTCCCAGGGGAACGGGTGATTTCTCTTTCTTCATCACTGTCTTTCTCTGTCTCTTTCCTGTGCACATATGTACCTTATGTCAAAAACCAAAATTTTAAAAATCCAAGAAGAAAAAATAAGTTGGAAATTGTTCTATAAGACTTGTCAACTGTACGTTACTGCTGTTTTTATTTTTTAGTCTACTAAAGAATATCTTCTAGGCTTTCATATCCTCAACATTACTGTGGTTCATAGATCTAGACAGTACACCTTTCAAGAACAAACATGAATAAAACAAACATCATCCATATACCCAAACCAAAAGAGCCCAGCAGGTTTTTAATACGTAAATACCCCCCACCCCCATACCTTGAACGTGAAGGTTCACATGTCGATGTGCAGAACCAGCTGCGTTCCTAGCCACACAAGTGTATCTCCCAGCATGGTTTAACTGGGTGGCAAATATTTCAATTGTGCCTAAAAAGGAAAAAGCAAGTCTCTGTTTTCATACTCCAGTCAATTTTCTCTCTTTCATTTTCAGTTTTCCATACTAAACGCATAATGCTCGGATTACATTTATCCTTGGACCTCTAGAAGTGCCCAACACAATGTTTATTTTTTATTAGTAGTAGTAGCTTTGTTGAAGCATAAGAGAGTGTGTAAATGCTCTAAAAGCCACCCACTTCATGTACAGGTCAGTGATTTGTAGTGAACGTGCTGCTGTGCAACCACCTCCACGATCTAATTTTCAAACATTTGCACCCCCCAAGAGAAACCCACTGTTCGTTTGCGGTCATCTCCCACTCCCAACCTGAGCTCCAGGCCACCGCTGACCTACTCTTCTCTACAGATTTGTCTTCACTGAACACATCATATAAATGGAGTCATGCAGTGTGTGCACTTTGGTGTCTGACAGCTCTCACTGAGAGCATAAGGTTTTGGAAGTTCATCTGTGGCAGCACGTGTTGGTATTTCATTCCTTTTTATTGCCAAACATTGGGCTGTCAAGAAAGTCATGACATGTTTTTACATGGAAAAACATAGAAAAATACGTCATGACTTTCCCGATGACCTAATAGGATTCCATCATGTGAGGACACCACTTTTCTTTCTCTGTTCATCAGCTGATGGACATTTGAATTGTTCCCACTTTAGGGCTAGTGTGAATGCTGCAGTATGAACAGCTAGCTGTCTAGCAGTCCGTGTAGACGTATGCTTTCATTTCTCTCGGACAGACATCTAGGAATGAAGGTACTGGGTCCTACGTTGACTCTTTAACACTTTGAGGGAGTTCCATATCATTTCTTAGCATAATACCTTGGGAGGGTACTGAAATTATAATCTACCAAGCTATACACGTTTCGGAGATAACCAAGATACTTTGCCTTGACATCTAAGTTGCATCCTGAGAACAAATCATCTTTTCCCTTCTATTGAAGAGATATACAAATTCTCTTAGCGTAATATATATATTTCCATCAAGTTCCAGGGTTTTAGTTGCTACTTTAATTGATCTCTCCTAGGGCAGGATACATGGTTAGAAACATAAATATGAATCACATACATTTTCACTTAGGTGAGGTTTTTTCCTTCTAAATACTATAAATTGCATTAATTATGGTTATTATCATAATCAATAACTGTCTCCTTCTACTAGGTTTCTTTCTTTCTTTCTTTCTTTCTTTCTTTCTTTCTTTCTTTCTTTCTTTTGGTGTGCATACCGAGTTGTCATGATATACAATGATTATAGATTAGTCAGAATTACAATTAAAGAAAGTTGTCCTTCATAGATAGCACTTATCACTGTCATACCTGCAAAATCATAAAAGACTTGAAAGCAAGAGCCCTGTTTTAGTTCCACAGTTTCAGAGAGTTAGGGGGATACATATGTTGGGTCATCGAAAAAATGTATTTTTCTGTTTTCCTAGGCAAAAATGTGTCACGACTTTTCCAGCAACTCAATAGCTGATCTCAGACATTACATTTCTGTTAAATGAACACTCTAGTTGGCCAATGGAAGAAGTGGGTGTGGTTCACTCACAGATAACCAGAGAATTTGTTAAACCTTAGGTTTTGGAGATACACACACAAATACCAGTGATCATGCTGATATTACTATGTTCGGGTCGGTTTTAGATATTATTTGCTATTTTATTTCCAGATTCCTTTTTTCTCTTGATTTTGCTATGTCACTTTCCTTTTCTTTCTTTTTTTTTGCATATTTTTTCTTTTTCTTTCTATTTCTTTTATACAGTCAATCATGTTACTTAGCTTACAAAGTAAATATTCCAACATGTGTACATTTCTCACCAGTCCAGTTCACCATTCTAGAAAGTTATCTTCAATAGATAATAATCCATTTCTTTGTCCCATAAATGCCTTGCCTCTCTATTTTTCACCTTAATATCCTTTCTTAGACTCTACTCCTTCACCCGCCCTCTTCCCACACTGTACCTGGTATTCACAACCATTTACTTAGTTTCTAGAGCCTTTAGTCATTCAGTTTTGGCCATGGAATGCAGACACTCAGTATACATTAAGTGGAGACCTACAATGTCTCTCCTTCATTGCCTGGCTTGCTTCACTCAGCAGTAAATCTTCCATATTCATGCACTTTCTGTCAAAAGCCAGGGTCCTGCTGTTTTTTATGGCTGAGTAGTATTCCATAGAGTATATCTCATTGCATTTTTTGCAGATAGATGTTAAAATCCAGGAAGACAGGCAAATCTCATCGAGTACAATGAAAGGCCAGATAAGGCCACCCACCCGTAACTAATCCAATCAATAGATGTGAAATTGCTGCGTTTACTCTTACCCGAGGACAGAATTCGATAGCCATCTCCCCGGGGAAGCAGTCTGATGCCATTTTTGGTCCAGTGGATGGAGGGAAATGGAACTCCTGAAGCAGTGCAGGTAATTACTGTGGGGGCTTGTTTGGTTACCAAAAAGTCAGTAGCCTCATCGGCTATGGAAGGTGGAACTGAAACAAGAATAACAAGAAGAAAGTCCATACAGATTCCCACAGCCTTATCATACAGTTTCCTCTCCTTGCTCTGAAAGTGAATGTTAGGTAAGTGGGAGGGAAGACCCCTGGGAGACAGTGGAACGATGAAGTGGCAGCGTTGCATAACTGTTGACCCACAGGCTAAGCCAGTTCTACCTTGGACAGTGAGCGCCACGGTTCTCTTATCCTCTCCAGCATCGTTTGTCACAGTGCACTCATAGGTTGCAGTGTCATCCACAGAAGGGGAAATAATGACCAGGGAGCCTGAAGAAAGGAGCCTAGGACAGAGATTGAAGCATGAGACACTACCTACCTGAAATCCTAGTGATGTAAAGTTTAGCCTTTAAAACACATACATTGGTGTATTCTGAGCTATAGGAAAGCATGCTGGAGGAATACAAACAATGGGAAAAAATACTCCTTTTCCTCCCCACACATGCTGCCAAATATCTCAATTGTGTTTTTAGGTATAACATTGGACATTTTTAATACTAAAGAGCTTTTTAAAATGTTTACAACTATCTTTCTTTTATACCAAATGATATTTTTCTACTCTATCATTGTAATTTCTGAAAGATGCAAAACCAGCAAAGCAGGATAGAAATTTAATCTTGAAGATCTCACTGACAGTCACCTACAGGGTTCACGTATTTGTAATACTAAAGAGCTTTTTAAAATGTTTACAACTATCTTTCTTTTATACCAAATGATATTTTTCTACTCTATCATTGTAATTTCTGAAAGATGCAAAGCAGGATAGAAATTTAATCCTGAAGATCTCACTGACAGTCACCTACAGGGTTCACGTGTGGGAAAGTTGCATCTACAATTCAGAAAAAAATTTTTGGTTAAAAAACTTAATTCCTTTGTAAGGAAAGAAAAATACTCTCCACAAACCAGTTAATTCTATACACTTTATATATTTGCTATTCCCACTGGTAGAATTAAAATATTAATTCTTTAAAAATACTATGCTTCTGGGACCTTCAGGTGGCATGATGGTTAAGGCGCTGGACGCTCACATGGCTGATCACAGTTCAAGTCTCAGACTCGGTGACTTGAAAGTGACACTGGGAATTTGTGCATGTGTGCCCAAAATCCCAAGAAGAGAAGGGAGGAGAAGGAACTGTGGTGTGGCCATCTCCTCTAGGGAGTGATTTCTCATTTTCCTTCTCTGTCTCTCCAGTGAGTATATGTGCTCTATGGCAAAAACCTAAAAAAAAATTATAAAATAATAATAATATGCTTCTAAATACTAAGTGGGATTTTTCATTTTAATTATCCATACCTGTATGAATTCTGATTCTGATCCACATTAAGAGGATGTCCATTCTTCCTCCAGTTAATCGATGGTTTTGGTATCCCAGTAGCCTCACAAGCCAGAGTGGTTTGAACATTAATTGTTACAGTTACATTGGTTGGACCCGGAGCGATTGAAGGCGGAACTAAAACAACGTCACCAAACAAGAGGGAAACACATTCAACCAATAGTATACTAGCGATAGTATTTCTGCTGAACTGAAATTAGTCATTGGCAACTTGCCTTGTGGTTATGAACACGAGACTCTGTGAATTTACGTAGAGCTGTGATAACATTAACCACAGAGGGGAGAAATGGTGATCTTGACTGTCCCTAATCTAATGCAATAGGTGTAAATATCCTTCTCTGTCAAAGGTTTTTATGACATCACTAGTTGAGGCTATCAAAGACTATTTGGCACAAAGACTGCACATTGTTTATAAAAGTCTATTCACCGTGGACCTGGAGATCCACCCGCCTGCGGTCTGTTCCAGCAGCGTTGGCAGCCATACACAAATACCGCCCACTGTCAGTGACTTGGGCTGCTTGGATATGAAGGAATCCATTTTCCAAGATGGTGTACCTACAAAAAAAGACCACACATAAAATCTCCTCACTCATTCTTTTTTGATTATTTACATTGTGATTGGGGCAATTCTTTTCTTTTTTGGAGAGGTTTTTGCCATAGAGCATGTGCACTCGCCAGAAAGAGACAGAAAGCAAGAAATCATCCCCAGGGAAGATGACCATGCTGCAATCCCTTCTCCTCCATTCTTCTCTTGGGATCTTGGGCACACATGCACATGCGCCCGGCATGAGTTTAAGCCACCGGGTCCAGGACTCGAACCACAGTCAACTACATGAGAGTCCAATGACATAGCCATTATGCCAACTACTGGTCCCATGACTGGGGCAATTGTAAAGACTTGTGAGACCAATTTTTAGTTTTTCATGCTTCAGATAATCCACATCTATAATCCTCTTCGTGAATGGAAGGATACAAAGTAAAGGTACATAGCAGATGGGCTCGTGACCTCGAGTGCATTATAGTCATTATACAGACACAAGCCTTAGGAATTATGCTTTTAAAATACTACATTTTAGTCCTTGTATTAAGATGAAAAGAGTAATTCTAAACATAATAGTACTAAAATAATGCATTGGAAAAAAAGACTTCAGGATTTACATTTGAGTTCCTACAGTATTTGCCATCTTTTTTCCAAAATTCTTACCTTGCATGATTCCCAGCTAGGACAGCTCCATCCTTTCTCCAAGTTATCCTTGGGGTGGGCACTCCCTCAGCAGCACACCCCAGTACAGCCGGCTTACTTAAAAGGATGACAAGGCTCTGAGGGCCACCTTTTATGCTTGGAGGAACTGAATGAGAGATGCACATGAGAAAATTCAGGTACAAAAAGTCACATAGCCTGTATGTAATACAAGGGGAGCTTTGAGGCACATGTATACTTTGGTCCTCACTAATCTAGGTTAGTCGAAATAGAATTGAGCTTGCCTTCTGGGGTTTTATTCATAGTACCTATTGTTTTAAAATAAAGAGTAGAGGAGCTAAGCAGTGACACAGTGGTAAAATGTGACACTCTGCAAGGTGATTCCACATGGGAAGGTTTCTAGTTCAAGTCCAGAGACTTCCCTGAGTACTCCATGTGCTCATGATCCTGGGCTGGGGGGTAGTTCATGGTGTGGAGACCCTGGTAGGTGGTGCCATCTTCCTCTCTTGCTTGTTCATGAATGAAAGAAATTAAAAAAAAAAAAAAAAAAACAGAGCTGGCTTGAAGATTTTAAACCCCCAATGTCATGTGTGAAATCTGGCTCTCTGTGAAAAAGGCTTGAACAGAAATCAGTTCTGGTCTGATGTAAATTAAAGATGATATATCTTATTTCTCGTTGGCCAAATAATGGTCAGAGAATGTTAATACTGGAACAACTTCATTTAAAATAAAGAACAGAAAGCGAGCTGTTTTATGAAAAGCACATCTGTGATCAATCATTGAAGTCTCGGAGCATGCACTTCATTAATCATTGAGTTCATGTGGGAATAGGGGAACTGAAAGTTAATTTTAATATTAGAGATATTAATTGTGTGCATCACCCAATAACTATAAAATTTCATGTAATTATTCACAATCCAAAGAGACATCTTTGAGAAAAAAAATCTGTATTATCTTCCCAAATTTTGGTATTTAGATATTTTAAAAATTCCAGCCCTGGATTAGCTCCATGATTTGGTGGTTAAGACAGCCACATGGGTGACCTGCAAATTAAATCCTGGACCCAATGGGTTTAAAAACATGCTGAGTATGTGTGAGTGCATGCCCCAAATCCCAACAGGACGGAGAAATACAGGAGAAGGGCTTATGGCATGACTACAGCCCATGAGGGGTGCTTTCTCCCTTCCTCTCTTGCTCTCTTGTCACTCTGTCTCATTCTGGTGAGTATTTTGTACATCCGCAAAAATTTAAAAAGAAAATTCCAGTCCTGTGGCAGTCCCCATCTAACACATATATACTTTCAAGCTATCCTCAATAAAGGTGAACTAAATGATGGGTCACATGCCACCCAGAGATTTAGTGTATTGACTTTTTCTTTCTTTTTTTTTTCCTTTTCTTAGAGAGATGTTTGCCATAGGGTGCATGCGCTTGCTAGAGACATAGAAAAAAACAGAGAGAGAGAAAGCAAGAAATCACTCCTCAAGGGGTATGGTCACACCATAATCCCTCTCCTCCATTTTCCTCTTCATATTCTGGGCACACATGCCCGGCCATGTGAGAGCTGCTAGGTCCAGGACTTGAACTGCAGTCGATCATGTGCAAGTCCAGCACCTTAACCACTATGCCACTTACTGGCCCCAGTGTACTGACTTTCTTAATGGCTCTAATGTGAATGACATAAAACATCTAGATATGCTAATTTAATTGAGTTAATTTGCAATATAGAGCTAACACAAATACATGTGATCTATTTTTCAAAAGAAATAACCACCACGATTTATTTAGTAGGCTTATGAAAAAATAAATGTATCATCTCTTTGAGTGCTTTTGGTTACATTTTTAAATTGTGAAACAATGAATAGCTTTTCTTACCATTTACAGTGAGAATAAATTCTCTTGTAGTCTTTCCTGCAATATTGCTGGCAACACAAGTATAATTGGCGGTATCACTCAGCTCTGCATTGTTGATCTGCAAGTATCTCCCTCCAGATAGTATCCGCACTCGAGGTGTTGCCTGGATTCAACAAGTAAAATTTATCATTAAAATGTCAGGAGAAGAGGATAAAATTTTATTACTTAATATCATAAGTAACTACAGTGAGCTGTAGCCCTGTCTGCTGCCCCATCATTAGCATGGTATCAAAAGCCCTGGGAACTGTTTAAACGCATGCAATTAAGGCACAAGTGTGTTCCTCACTCCCTTGACCATACTGATCCATTCAAGGATGAGCAGGAGACTCAAGCGTAGCTTTCTAGGCCTTTCCTTAGGCTCTTGATGGAAGTATGAGGGGAATAGGAGTGCCCTCTTACTGGGATCACTTGCTGTAAAGATGATACAAGCCTTGTGGTAGTCTAATCATGTGGGGGCAGCCTGCCTTGAATAAGACACAGCAAGCAGAGTTGAGATTCAAAGGACACAGATGATTCATTACATAACTAGAACCTCTGGATCTAGAAATGCCTAAATGCTATATTGCTGTAGTCAATACATTTCCTTTTTTATTTTCTAATTTAAGTAGGTTTGAGTTTGAATTCTGTCACAACGAAAAGCTCCCTGATTAATAGATTACCTGTGGTTAACTTAGAGGAAAACATTACCCTCTAACATTTTATCAATAAATAAACAAACTTAGTCTACAAATATTGGTTAAGCATTCATTTTATCATGGGAGCAAGAGTTTTGAAAATACAGCAACAATGAATCTAATCTCTACTATTAAAGACTAATTAGGGAGAGAGAGGTAAATGCTAATTTTAACATAAATTATAATGCATAATATGTATAGTCATTAAAAAAATGCCAGGTTGCCTCAAAGACTGCTATTCTCTGATTATGCCTCAGATGGAAACACTACGGTATGAGCCCAAATAAGATTTCTCTACTATATGGGCTCTCTCTCTCTCTTTCTCTAAATATATATATATATTTTTCAAATATATATATATATATATTTGAAAAATGTGTTCATACTAAAATATACAGTTCAGGTCTATCTTATTTTTAACTTTTATATTAGATTAATAGGATTTTAGGCTAATACAAACTCTCAGATTGATTCTTAAGTCTTTATCCCATGAACATTAGTGAGTTCTGCTACCTCATTAAGACACACTACAAGTTTTTTCAGGCGTTTCCTTTCCTTCATCATTCAAAGTCTTCAAAACCTTATTCTCACATGATGACCTTGTGTCCTGTCCCACTGAGAAAATCAAAGCCCTGTGTCTGCAGCTGTGCCCCCATCCCATCTTGGATACGAAAGCAACCTTCCTGTCTATGTCCCCGTGTCTGTGGAAAAGGGTCAGCTCGTCTGGGTGGAACATTTGCCTTCCCCTGTGACCTGGGTTACAATCCTCTCCCATCTGACACATCTGTTCTATAAGCCTTTCCTTCTCTCCCCTACATCTTTCATCAAATAAATGTACGCAAACCTCTTTACATTTAAAGAATAGAGCACACCTGCCCTTTCTTCCATTAACTTCCGAACAACTATAATTTGCCTTCTACCTGATCATAATATTGGAATATCATTGTTCAGGCCTTTAATCATCTCCACATATTGCCAAAGTCTCTGGATCCAGCTTAATTTGTACCTTAGGTGACATATGTTAACCCCTTCCCCTCCCCTCCCTGGCTGTCAGTACACCAGTGTCTCCTACTTTTAATTCTATCTTCCCTAGTCCTCTTCTGTCATCCCATGCATCTTATCTTCTTCCTTTGCTCCTCTTGTAATTGGCAGTGCTTCCTAAGGTTTTAGTCTCATTTTGCTTGTCTTTCTGGTCAATCTAATACAAACTTATTGTTTCAACTACAGGTTACACCATGAAAACAACCGTACCTGAGTTCTTTTTGGAGAAACTATGTGGACTATGAAATCAAATACTTTTTGGATGAAATATGAACCTCTATTTCTTAATGCTCTTTAAAGTCTCAACTGGGATATTAGATAGCTAATTCAAATTTAAAATATCTAAACCCAAACTCATTTTTTTCTCTTACGGCTCAACTCGCCATTCCCCAGCACCGTCATCACTGTATCAGGGATTGTATCAGGGATCAGTCTGGATGTCCCCATCATCAACATTCCCTTAGTCCCTACCTAACACCTGCTGGTCTAGAATGGATACACACTGAGAAGCTGATAGTACACAGGCTAAATCGAGTAGGAAAGGTCTTGTGAGTTAAGTTCGGTAACTTAACCCAAATCCTGAAACCTGTATGGAGCCACCAAAGGGTTTTAATCATGTCTCATTCAACCATACCAGGCTATTACAGTTCCCAAAAGCAGAATTCCTTTTCTTGTAATGGCTTTTATGTGTCATTACTTTCTTTTTTCTTGAGAGGTTTTTGCTATAGTGCACGTGCGCTTACCAGAAGACAGAAAGAGACAGAGACACAGAAAGTGAGAAATCACCCCCCGGGGGGATGGTCAAACTGCAATCCCTTCTTCTCCATTCTCCTCTCAGGATCTTAGGCACACACGCACACGCGCCCAGTGTGAGTTTAAGCCACCGGGTCCAGGACTCAAACCACAGTCGACTACATGGGAGTCCAGCAACATAGACATTATGCTATGTTGGAACTGCTGGTCCCTATGTGTCATTACTTTTAAATGGAATTCTTTTCTTCTCTTTTCTCACACAGTTCCTACCTATTCTTTTTATTTTATTTTTTTTGGAGAGGTTTTTTTCGCTATAGGGCACGTGCGCTCGCTCGCCAGACAGATAGAGAGAGACATAGAGACAGAAAGCGAGAAATCACCTTCCCAGGGGGGATGGTCATGCCACAATCCCTTCTCCTCCATTCTCCTCTCAGGATCCTGGGCATGCACGCCCAGGTGCCTGGCGTGAGTTTTAAGCCACCGGGTCCGGGACAAGAACCGCAGTCGACTACGTGGGAGTCCAGCAACATAGCCATTACACTAACTGCTGGTTCTCCCTACTTGTTCTTTAAAACTGAACTTACCTGGGATCAGCAGATGGCCTAGTGGTTACATCACTAGACTCCTACATGGCCAACTGTGGTTTGAGTCCTGGACTCCATGGCTTAAAACTCACACCAGGTACATGTGGGTGCACGGCCAAAAGTCCCAAGAGGAGGCCAGAGGAGAAGGGATTGAGGCCTGGCCATCCTCTGGTGGGTGAGTTCTCACTTTCTGTCTCTCTGGGGAGTGCACTCTTTAAAAACAAAAGGAAACAAAATGAAACAAAAAACAACTGAACTCACCCTTTATGAGTTTTTCTGAGCTGTTCCTTAATCTTAAGTCTGGATTATTTGTTTCACCTCTGTTTCCATGAGATGCTGCACATTTCTCTAGCACATCATCAATAGTACCTGTTCTATACGCTTCGGTTTAACCCTTTGTCCTTTCAGATAGTCTGTGAGCTCCTGAAGGGTCAGGACTTGGCTTGGTAGCAATCATAGTGCCAGGCATTGTAGCAGGCACACAACAAATACAGAAACTGAAGCACAGCAGGGTTATGTGATATGTGTGAGGATTCAGCATGCAACTCAGAACTCACCCTGTGTGCTTAATGTTTCATGTAGTTTGGTGGAAAGTATTTATGCATCAGGTGTTAAGGGACAACAATTCTTTTTATAGTTAAGTGCTAGGAACACACTGTACTATGTAGGTTTTACAGGATGAAGAAGAACAAAAACAAAAAAGAAAAAGAGAAAAGATAACATCTAGAGAGTGATAATTGAAAGATTCGAAGTTAAAGCTTTCAGCCAGCCCTAAACGACTACTGAGGAACCTGAGCTGTGATGTGCTGACAGGTCATGACAACAGATAGGTATCCATAAGCCTGGGAAGCTTTAAAGAACCAGTAACTGGGTTCTCCAAGGATTATAGTCCCAGCTCCCTGGTACCTGGGGGTAACAGGTTTTACAAGATCTCTTGGGCTCTTACTGAGGTCCATGTTTAGACTGGTGAAATTCAGTAACAGTTTCACCCTAGACATTTGGTAGGCTAGGTCAGTTCTTCTGAGATCCTGGCAGTTTCTTCTCTTGCAAAAAAAGAAGTAGCTGAATGCTTCAAATTAGAATTTAATCTGTGGGCTCCAGGAGATATATATTTGGGCCATTTTCCAGAGAGTCATGAAAATAAATACTTGTCTTTTAATAGAGAGGCAGGATGTTAGTGGGAAACAGATATGGCTTATTAACTGTTGATGATGGCATGTACAGTATTCTCAACCGGATTGGTCTGAGAAGTATTTCATGATGGGCAAAGTCTTTTTACAAGCAAAATGAGAAATAGTGATTGACTGTTTAAAAAAATAATTAGAATAATAACAATAATGATTGGGAAAATCATTGAAAAGATATTGAATGGTGAAGTGGGGAGATTGATGTCTCTGTATTGACTGACATGCATGGCATTCCCTTTTGAAAAAGCAATGTGATACACTGTAAAGTTATATGCAATCCTATGTAATATAAACAAGCTTATGATAATAAAAAATAAATTAAAAAAAATACTCGTCTTTTGATCCATAACCAACTATTAACCACCCTCATTGAAGGCTGAGAAAAGCAGCTGGCTGATGAAGTGTTGAATAACTTGTGGCCTGGTGTGGTTTGGTATTGTCGGCCAGGCAGAAGTTCCACAGATGATGTTTTTTCTCCCTCATCTCAAAAATAAATGTGGTGCTTAGCAAAAGATTTACCTGTAATCGTTCTCCGTTTTTGAGCCAAGTAATTACAGGTGGCGGCACTGCGTCTGATCTGCATTCCAAGGTCACTTGTCTGTTCCGTAACACAGTGAAATCCTGGGGTTCATCGGTTCCAGCAATATTAGGGGGTACTAGATGTGAGAGAAAATACATAAAAGGCTTTCATTAAACATGATGTGAATGATCACAGGTGTTCGATAAATGTTATATTGGCTCTGCTTTATAAAATAAGAGTCATAAACTTAAATCATTATTTAAAATACAGTATAGATAATTATAAATGGGAAATTTTTAAACCTTATTCAACACTTCTACATATATTAATAAAATCCTCCCAACAAGGGACCAGCAGTTGGCGTAATGGCTGTCACTGGACTCCCATGTAATCTACCGTGGTTCGAGTCCTGGACCCGGTGGCTTAATCTTACGCCAGCCAAGTCTGTGTGCGTGCCCAAGATCTAGAGAGGAGAATGGAGGAGAAGGGATTGCAGCATGGCCATCCCCCTGGGAGATGATTTCTTGCTTTCTGTCTCTCTGTCTCTTTCTTTTTGGTGAGCGCAGGCGCCCCATAGCAAAAACCTCTCCTAAAAAGAAAAAATCCTCCCAACAACTACAAGAATAAAAGGATATATAATATATTCACATCATTATCACTACTTGACAGTGAGGAAACTGAGGCACAAAGGGAGTTCCTGGTCCAAGCTCTATATTTGGTAATGATTTTCACTGAATATCAGATTTTAAAATCATCAGATCAGGGACTGTCCCTCCTAGCACACAGAGGGACATGTACTTTCCCTA